GTGTGTGGTATTTTTTTGAACAGCAGGGCTTGAAAGCAAGAAGAGGAACTCTACCAAAAACAGGAAATTCAATTGACAGTAGAATGAAATTGACAGTGTATTATATGGCCCTCAGGAAAATATATGACTTAGAGGTCTTAATGCCCATATAGGAATGAGTCAAGGCTATAGGCCCCGCACTACAGGTGCTGGAACTAGGCTCACTCATAAAGCCTAGAAAAAAGCTATCTGTTCCATGATCACATAGTAGAAAAATATTTGCCCCCTCCTCTGGACAAGTGAGAAAGCTATTATTCTCAGAAAATTAGAGACTGGGCCTGCACTGTAAGAAGCCCCATTGCCATCCAGTCAATTCCGACTCATAGTGACCCTAAAAGACAAGAGTAGAACTGCCCCGTAGGGTTTCCAAGGAGCAACCGGTTGATTCGAACTGCCCTCCTTTTGGTTAGCAGCTGAGCTCTTAACTTCTCCGCCACCAGTGCTCCCTATAAGAACTAGGGAGCCTGTAAAAACGGCATGGGGGCACTGTCAGACCTCCTGTAACTTCACAAGGGAAAAGGAGAATCAAGATCAACAGCCCAAGGCTGATGCCTATGAAGCGGAGGTCAGACACGCCTCTTTTCTCTGCCATTTTTACCAACTCTGACACCAACCGTCCCTCACACAGCCCTCTCTACTTCTCTGCTGAGTTGGATAATTCATTGCAGTGGTCACACAGAACTCACAGACAATACTCACGATTATGGGGTTTATTAGGGAAGTAACAGGTTACAATTCAGGCTCAGGAACACTTAGGATACAGTTCTTCCATCGGGACAGCTTTTTTGGAACCGTGCTTGCAAGCATGCCTCTCCCTGGCCCTAGCCTCTCCCCAAAGGCACTCAGCTTTCTCTCTGTGCGGGCCAGGATGCCCACCGCGCAGTCTCCTGCTGCCGAGTCTCTCCTGTCACCGCTTCTCACCAGCTTCAGGGCTACAGCTTTCTCTCCCTTTCTGTCTCCTGCATCAAGGAGCTTTTCACCGCAGGGATCCTGGGTCCAAAGGACACACTCTCAGCTCCTGGCTGTTCTTCCTTGGTGGTGGTAGGACCCTCCTGTCTGCTCTGGAATTGGCTCTCTTTTAAGGCAAAACTGACAAATCCCCTTGGTAGGCCACAGTTACCCTATCACACAGTCACCTGGGTGAGAGTTACAAGACCATGGCTAGAAAGGCCACACACAAAAGTAATTAATCGCACCGCAGAGCCTTAATTTGCATTACCTGTAGCCTGGTGCAGAAACCCTAAACCTAGACTCATATAAACTGACCCAGAGCCCCAGGACACTCTTATCAATCTCTCCCAAGAAGAAGCAACCACAAAACTAACCATAGATCCACCTCAGCAACCCAGGGGACGGAAAGACTCTCTTAGAAGATAAGTGCCGCGGAAAGACCACACCAAAAAATACAGCTCATAACACGGGAGCCAGCTGCCATGAGGGAGGTCATTAGCAGATGACAAATTGAGCAGTCGGAAGTAAACTTTTAAATTAGTCTGTTTAAGATGTTGAAAGGGACAAAGAATTTATTAAATAAGAGTAAAATATCACCAAAAAAGATGGGGCAGACTTAAAGAAACAAATAGAATGTTTAGAAATAAAATTTAGTATCTAGGAAAAGATAAACAAACAATGTAAACTAACCCTATGAATATCAAATTATGTAATCAGGAGTTTCAGACTGGCTAAGAAGGTCAGATTATTCTAAGACTAGATGTAAACTTGAGACATGATCTTTTGGAGATTTAATACTAGGCTGTTTAATATTAAAGATCTCCTCTACCAAAGATTCTAGCTAACCGGTCACAACCAGCCAGTGTATCTCAAAACACCACCCTTTTAGTCTTAAAACTGATTGTCTCTGCTTTATCTCCTTGCTTGTGAGATCTCTACCAGGGAGAAAGGTACAACTAATGGCGGTTCTTCTCTCCAGTTGTCACTCATGAGACTTTGGGGAAATCAAAAGTGCCTCTGTCTCCTTATCAAGAGAAGGAGGGAGCCCCTTGCAATAGTTTGTTCATACAAATTTGCAAAATGAATACCCTGAAAGTCTATATAATTTAACTCTTTGAGAGTCTTCTGATTTTACTGTTTCTTCTCCCTCCCCCACACCTTATAATTTGGTATTTTGTAGCATCCTCATTATTATTGTTATGGTCAGTAATAGACATTGGCTAACATTTCTATTTGGAGATTATTATTCAGTCACTTTTACAGAATGTACTTGAAATTGTTTTTCTCGTATTGAGTTCAACTTTAATTTTCCATATTCCTCATGTACCAATAGCACACATTTTTGAGATGACTAGCTATAGTTAGGGGTATGGTTTGTAGCAATAGAATAGACATTTTTCTGCAAAAGGTAACTGGTCCCTATGGGGTTCAAACTTGTGATCTTGGCCTCATTATCACACTATTGTAACCATCAGACCTAATAGAAATACTATATATATTTCCATCTGTAATCTTGAAATCGGGTCATATTTTTTAATTACTCAAGGCTTATTTCAAATATGTAATTAAAAATCACTTTGGGACATTTCTCACTTTTGTTTGATAGTCAAAGTCACAAAAGTAAAGCAGACAGCCAAAGAACCTAACTCACTTTTCATCTTCCCTGTGTTTTCTATGACAGTGAAAGTCACAAAAGTGAAGCTTGCAGGCAAAGAGCCTAACTTACTTTACGGAGAGTGCTACGGTACCTTTTTCTTTTAGTGAGGCTGGCTATAGCAGGTCTGATGTCAGTCACTTTAGAGACCTTTAGACCTCAGTGCTCATTTATTGCTAAAATGTACCAGCTCTGCTTCTGCATTATGAAGATCATCTGTCAACACTTTGAGATATTCTCCTTTGTTATTAAGCTTGTGATGCTCTACACTGTCAGGTTTTTTGCCAATTATAGTTAAGGTACAATGGTGTATTCACCAGATCAAAGTCTCACATTGGCGGTAGAGGAATGATTTGTAAGTCTTTATTCATCTGAATTGTACAATAGAACACCTGAGGAATGCAAATAATCCCTCTGAGGACTTGGTAGGAAAGGCTGTTAAAATGATAGGGTACAAGTATTGTTATTCTGAGTAGATGTTTTAGCGAAAGTAATTATTTCTTATCTTGTTGTTTCATAACAGTTCTAGTTTATTATGTTGACCATATTCATGAAACAAAATGTGTATGATATTTTTATAGTATCCTTTTCCGTGGGCTTGTTTTATTTTACTTCATTGAAACTGTTTTGGTATGTGATCTGCTTTTTTAGAAATACGTCTTTGATTCTGACTTGTGTAATAAAAGTATGTTACTAAACCACTGATAATGATGTTTTAATATAAACTTTTGTTTGAATAGTGGAAGCCTATGAAATAGCTTAGAATTCCATAATGTTACTGTTGGCAGAAGTACCAACTTAAATTTTGCCCTTTTTCTTTACCTGCCCTTCATAAATTTGGATAAGAAGAGATCTGGTTTGGATTTCATATTTTAAAGGCTGCATACTTTATTCCAAAATGAATCTTAAGATTTGGCCCTTTTTTTTTAGGATGTGACCAAAAGGGAAAAAATATATTATTTTGAAGATCAAAAACCACTGATAACATATTAATAAGTAAAAAATACGGCATTCTTTTATAGCAAGCATGCATCAGCTGTTGTGTGAACTTTTCTTTATCCCATCCTAAATCCTCTGATCCCCTGGCATTTTCTTTATAGGTGAATGTTGATGAATTTGTGATTTAGTTCTTGATTTTCTTTTCCCCTAAAGTGACATTTACATTGATTATTTAAAGGATTTCTGTGACAGCTTTTTGCAATGCTAATTATTAAAACCTTGATTTAAATATGGGAAATTGTGAAACTATGTAAGACTATGCTATGCATTAAATTTTTTAATGTGAATTTCTGTGGAATCTATAGTCAGTCCTATAGTAAACTCAGTACCAGCATCATAAGACTATATACTGAGAGTGAAAGTTAATAATAGTAACTACTGTTGTTTGTTTACCATTTGCCAGTCATTATTTTTCCAAGTTCTTTACAATATAATATGTACTGTTATCTCCATTTTCACAGATGAGAAAACTGAGGTTTAGAAAATTTCAGTAAGCTGCCCAGGAATAAAAAGCTAGTAAAGTGATGGGATTGAAACCTAGTTAATCTGTTCACTACACTTACTTCATGTGTGTTCTAGTTACTACTTTGCCAAAATACTCTATGCTTTGGGGCAAAAGAAAAAATCACCCAATACTGTCCTTTCAGGTAACAACTCGTACCAGTTTCCTAACTGATTTGGCTTTCTAAACCCTTTGTGATTAAAGGAATTTATTTCCTCTGCAGTTCTAATCATTCGTGATTCTACAAAATTCAGGTTCACAAGAACAGTGTGTACTCAGTCAGCTAGATTTGTAAATCATCTTTTCTGGGCATGATTGTTTTGGGTAGCAAAAATTTCCCTCAAAACCAGTGACAACTGTAAGTTCTATTAGTCCAAGAAGGAACTGAACCAGGCATCTTGGTGGAGCAAATTACTTGTTTGCCAAGGACTCTTCAAAATTAGCTGGCATGTTTAGGTGTGATTCCTGTGCAAACAGAATTTTATTTTTCTTTTAAAAAATTTGCTTTTTAAAGTAAGGAAAATAATAAGAAATCATAAAATTGAGGTTTTATTCAAGGGCACAAGTGTTAATGCTGAACAAATTTAGTGTAACTAAGGAAAGTTTTAAAATATTTGTATAATAGTTCCTATAGATAATGTGCTATAGTAAAACTAGATTACAGTAAAATATTATGGCGGATACCTGAAGCAATTGCTGCCTGTTAATGCCTTGACCTTGGAAAGCTATACACAAAAAGATGGCATCATAAAACCGTGCAATTCTTATGAATATGTATGTGCTACTTGATAATAATGAATGTGGTACAGTCATGCATGCACTACAAGATAATGTTGTGCCCTTTTTTGTCTACAGGTTGATAAAAATTAAAGAGTGGGTGGACAAGTATGACCCAGGCACCTTGGTCATTCCTTTTAGTGGAGCCTTGGAACTCAAGTTGCAGGAATTGAGTGCTGAGGAGAGACAGAAGTATCTGGAAGCGAACATGACACAAAG